ATATCGTATACGTCGAAATGACGAAACCCGCTGCCCGCACTGCTTAACTAACTTCTGCGTACTCCATATCAGTAACATATCTGGTTATACCATTATTTATAGCTTTATCTCATCTTATAAATTTTATAACAGGCAGCAAATTATTGAGATAGGGAACCGTCATAACTCACCTCCATGTTGCAGCTGGAAGCAACGGAAACATTCGCGGGCAGTTTCCCACATTTTGTGATTAATTCCGTATTATTCAGTATGAAATGAGAAGACTTCTTCCAGATCATAATATTTTATAATAAAAATAAACTTCGGTATTGATTATGGGCTCGCCAGCACGTCGGAAAGTTTCAATACCGTCGATGTGAACAACTTCTACTGTCACTTCTCAGGGGTGTGCACAACGTGACGCACGTTCACCTTGTTTCTGGCAGCCTAGAAGATCAATTAGGCAGGCCACGGCCCACGGCTATAAGCTATTTTAACACCTGCAATGCATGAACACAAAGCAGCACTACTCGCTACGTCGAACGAACACCATCGAATATACACAGGTTCATTCTCCCCTTAACTCTAGGTGATGAAATACCCGTAGCCTCGCCTGTTTAAGCGATCCTCCAGGCTCCTAGAAAAAAGCTTAAACCTGAAGAAATGACAAGAGGTATGTAACCTGAAGAAATGTTATTCATGAAACGGCTGCAAAAAGGAATAGCAATTTGCCGGTAATACCGGGGTTACGTTTTGGTAAGCAATGCCTATGCACGATGACATTTCAGTATTAGTAGAACAGAATTTTGATCAGGTCTCCACAGTGACGGTGCTTTGCACCAATGCACTGCAGGTGCTAAAATACGAGAGTCATGGGCTGGTTAAATATTACCGTAAGCTATTATAAGCAAGAGAACGATGCCCTACATCGTGTAAATCCGGAGAAACGATAAGATGATCTTTAACACTATTATTTTTAGATAAAAATATGGTTTCAAAACCGAAGGTATAAGATCAAGCGCAGAAATCCAACGGAACCAAACGGAATTGGGACCTTCGACAAAAGAAGAATTCCTGTTGTGGTACTCATCAAGGACGGCGTTCGTTTAAACGGAAGTCACGTGTCAAAGACGATATCTCAGAGTGTGCCGCCAATCAACTGGTATTCATACAAGGACGGTGATCAAAAGTAGTAGAGTTAACGCTAATCAATAGGTAGCTTCTTTGAAGCTATGAATTACGGACAGATGATCAATGACAAAGTGTCAACCAACAGACTGTGTTCCTCGATTGCTGAATATTGCTAACGTATTTGTATAGTAAATTTTAATCTTTTACAACCTAAATATCAGTACAATATACAGATGACGCGAAACACATTAATCACAAAGTATAAAATATAAAACTTGTAAGAAAAGCGACTTCTACACAGACAGCTGGCGTTCTACACAAAAAAAAACAACGTGAAACGTTTCCCGGCGGAAATAAAAACGAAAACAAACATAGCTAAAAACGGATAATTTCGGCGACTTTCGAACAAGTCTCTGTACGAAGGTTACCCGACACCTTTGAAAGAATTGATCGGTAAAACATACACAAAAAACAAATAGTAGAGACAGAGAAGTAAAAAAAGAAACAGTTCAAAACGCGTTCATCATAACTTGACGTGCAGGGCGTCCATGTATGGGTCGCGCGGCTCGGGGTATGGTCATCAGTGACCGACGACCGACTGCTGACCACTGTCTTGGCGTTCTCACGGCGACACATGGTTAGCGTCGGTGCTGCTGCTATACACCAGGCTCTTCGGAGAGCATCGCGTCCAGCTGGTCAGTCAGATTCTTCAACATGTTTCCAAGATCGTCAAACACCGCCGAAGACTTCGAGGAGGACGGCGATGACCTGGAACGAAGAAAACGGGAAGTCAGAAATGCAAACGAGAAGTGAGGCGAGGTGTAGCGCAGTTTCGTTGACTCACTGCCACTTACTGTTTCGATTCGGGAGATGCAAAGACCTCACTAACGTGTTTCCTCGAGCCGAGCTCCATCGAGTGTTGCGGCTGGTGGTGCAACTGACCATCAGAAGAAGTGTTCATCACGCCACCGGTTGCTGCTTTCTGTTTGATCGTGCCGACGTTTTCGTTGGCAAACGGCAACGTGTCGGTGCTGCTGTTGCTTTCAATGGACGTCAGTGAGCCGACTCGTCTTTGACGGGTGGGACCACTGTGACCATTCGCTCTGACCGTCGACATAGAATTATTTGAGCTTTCGGTAGTGGTCGAAGAGCAGCCGACCACGTCGTGTGTGGAGATGATGCTCATTTGCGACGTCGACA